GTTAGAGAATTAAGTAATTAGTTTTTAGTTACATGTAGTTATATATATATATATATATATATATATGATAAACATTTCAAGTTCTAGAGGGAAAAAAATAGGATTTAGGCCAAAATTTGAGATTTTTTTAAAATTAAAATTATTCTGATAAAAACGCTCATTATAGTTTCGAAATAAATTTTATTCTTAGTTTGTTGTTCAAAATTTGTACTATGCAATATTTATCCAAGCTTACTCTATATCACTTCAAATCAATAATAATAATAGTAGTTTTTTTCTTTTAACTTTAATACATTTTAACTAAAAAATGGAATAAAGCTCAAGTTTATTTTAAAATAAAAAAAAAAGATAATATACTTTTTCGAAATTACTAGCAAAAATTTAATTAAATTTTTTGGTCATTTAGCATTACCCTTTGCAAATTATATAAAAAGTATTACAAATCACGATACTCAATAATTCAAAAAATCTATGAAAAATTTACCATCAAACTTATTTGAGTATCGAAAATCAAAAAAATCACATAAAATAAAACGAAAGAGATAAAATATATTTTTTTTCTCATATAAAGTGGGTGCTTGCACGCGCATTGAATGCGTGTTGTACAATATACAAATTAAATAAAAAAAAAACACAACATTAAATAATAAACAAGTTATTGTCTGCCCAAAAAAGGATTCTTAGTGTCCATTGGGTCGGCTAAAAGTATAGCAATGATAGAGACATACTCTTCCCCCTTATTCACTTCTTTGTCTAATAATTTATTATTTTTTTCCCCCACCCCCCATCCCCCTCCATGGGTGGGGTGGGGGTGGGGTGAAATAAATATATATATATATACACACAAAATTATTATTTATTGAATAACAAAAAAGTAATTTAATTTTGTTAGAACTATGATGGAGCTTCAATTGGGGCTTGCACTATATGGAAATTCAACAAAAGGGTATAATCTTGATTTGAATAAAGGAAGATCAAGTCAAATTCTTGATGTTCAAGATGAAAATGATGTCAATGTTCTTCAAACTTTGCCTTTGTTGCTTCTTTGGGACAAACATAATGATGATCATCAAAACAATGAACATAAAAGGTAATACTTTCTAACAATCCATTTGAATTTTTAGCTCCTCTCGTTTGGTCGTAGATTTTGAAGTTGAAATTCGAAACTCTGAGTTTGTGAAATATTGTATTTGGACATGCCACTATAAGAAAAATGACGTGGATTTTTCTGGGAATTAGTATGAAAATTTGCAGGAAAATAAGTTTTATACGAATTTTCATACATTCTCCATGTAATTCAAACTATTTTTTTTTTTTGTAGTTTACTCATTTTTGTGAGTAAATTAAAAGTGTTTTGAGTCAATTTTTTGAAAATTTGGAAGTATTTAACGATTAAATTTTATGATTAAACAGATATTAAAGTGTTAAATTTATGGTCAAACGTGAGTAAATTAAAAGTGTTTTGAGTCAAATTTTTGAAATTTTTTTATAGTATTTAACGATTAAGTTTTATGATTAAACAGATATTTTAAATAAGAGTTAAATTTATGATTAAATGCTAACTTTTATTGTTATGAAATTTTTGATGGAACAGAAAAGATATTGGTGATGAAGATGGGGTGGCGGGGTGGCCACCAATTAATTCATTAAGGAAGAAGCTCTGCCACCGTAGCCGCCGCGGCGCGATGAATTATGTCACGGTGGAGAACGGCGGCGTTAGTGGTGGCAGAGGATCAATATATAAGTATGTGAAAGTGAAAATGGAAGGAGTTGGAATTGCAAGAAAAATTGACTTGACTCTTTTTCACTCTTACAATAAACTTACTGACACCTTAATTTCCATGTTTGGAAAAAGTAAGTGTAAATAATTTTGCGTAATCTCGAATGTTATTAATTTCATAAAAATGTAAGATATATTTATCGAAAATATTATATATTATATTGAGTATGTTGTTATATGCTTCAGAATTCGACTATTTATTCGTTTAGTGATTTTGATATTGAACATTTTTAAAATGGGATCTATCAGATAAATTCAAATATAATTAACGTTTTTATAACAATTTACTCTTTCTATTCTAAAGAGAATTTAGTATTTCTTAATCGTGAATATTTAAATTGTTTGAGAATTTTTATTTAAATAGTTTTTATTTTTGGGGAAAATTAGTAAATTAATTATTCTAATTTTTTTTTAATTACAGATAAAGAAATTGGTGATGTTTATAAACTTACATATCAGGATAAAGAAGGTGATTGGCTTCTTGCTGGTGATGTACCATGGAGGTATGTATAAAAAATTAAATCAATTTTCTTAATTTTTTGTTTCAAATATTTTTATTTTATTAAATTTTAATTAATTTGGGAATTTTTGTGATTTTTTGCAGGACTTTTGTTGGGTCAGTGCAGAGGCTAAAATTAATTAGAGATGAAGATTATTGATTAGTGGAATATATATTATTAATTAAGAATCTCCTCTATATTTTAATGTCTATTTTGTTTTTACCTTTTGATGTCTACAAAGATGTAATCTCACATAGAGTTTTTGTCTATTTTGTGAAGAACTAGTTTATGACATACTCTCTTTAAGTATTAACCAAAAAAAAAAGAAAGAAATTAATTTAGTCTTATTATAAAAAAATGTTAAGACACATTTTCCCTTTGGTTTTGTTTCAGCGATAATAATATATTCAATATATTTTTGTAAGTAAGATTTGAGAAAAGTGGAGTGTATGTGCAAAATCTTATCTTTGAACTTGCAAGGTAGTTGTTATTTTTGATAAAATCCTCGTAATATTAAATAGGGCTATTTTCACATATAGCAAATAAAAAATTCATATTTGTATGCTATAGCAAAGTTTGCATAATTGCGCTCCATAACAAACATAAAACTGTATAATTCGCTATACATATACAATTGTATAATTCGCTGGCCTAAATTGTATAATTTGCTGACTTATTTCGCTGCAATTGTATAATTCGCTATCCTATTTCACTACGATTGTATAATGCACAATTGTATGATTCGCTGACTATTTCACTGCAATATTTTTATAAAAATTGATTTGCATACAGTTGAATCGAATTATAATGTATGTATATCGCATAATTATAAGTGTATAGCAAGAAGATATATGTTTTTCTCTCATTTCAAAAATAGAAATATAATATATACACTTCTGTTGTATAAAGCTAGAGAAAATTGTACTTCACTGCAATTGTATAATTCGCAATTGTATAATTCGTTGGCCTTTTTCTCTGCAATATTTGAAGTAAAATGTTTGTAAATTGTATAATTAAGTGTATAACATGAAGATATATATTTTTGCATGTGTATATACAATTTTCTCTCGCTTTATACAAAACAGAAACAAAATTTATACACTTTTGTGTATAAAGCGAGAGAGGCAAGCGAGAATTGCGAGATTTTTGGGAGAGAGACGCTGACAAACTTTAGCTAACGTTTGCTATGGAGCACAATTAAATCAAACCCTAGCTACACCATTTATTTTAGGTTATTAGTTTTCTATTATATACAATTTTCCCTACTAGATAAGTTTGAAATTTTTTGTTTAATTAATTTAGTAGTTAATGAATTTATAGTTAAGATAAATAGTTATCGAGGCAAATGGGGTGAGTCTAACTTAACGCTATTTCTAAAATAAGAGAATTGTATAAATCATATAAAAGAGATTATCAATTATGTTATCTATTGATGTGAGCTTTTTCAATACAAATCAAGACTATTGTAGTATATCTTGTCGAGTTGACAAAACATACAATACTTGAAATCTTAAAAAAGTATAAACAAAATCTTGAATATCTTAGAATTCACTTAACAAAACCCTTGGCTTCATGTTTGTTGTAACCTTTTTTTATTTTTCATCCAATATTCAATATTTATTTTGGCGCCCTGTTTATTTGAATCTCATTAGAAAGTCAGCTTAATATTAAAGCTCAATTCAAGATTTTTGATTGAAAATGAAAAATCATTTACGTCAATTTAAGCAATATTCAACCATAATATTGAAGAACATGTTTGAAGATTATATGTTAAATAATGAATTTACTAGGAGTGACTAACGAACAGATAAAATCAAATACATATAGATAAAAAGATGAGTAAAACAAAAATTTAGACCGCATACTAAACATCCCATTTAAAGGTGGTATATTTGTAAAAATTAGGCAAATCACATAGTCTAAGGAATAAATTATTTTCTATCTCTACTCTTTTACTATTTACCAAAAATTTCCCTTTTTATAGTATTTCGGATACATAATATTACAGAGTGATATTTAAATTAAAGAAGACAGATACTTTAATTTTTTATTTGTTATTATCAATTACAGAGTAAAATTTTTTAAAGATGAAAAGTTCAAATTTTGATTTTCAACATAAAGCAAGTTAAGTATCGTTGGGCGTATAAAAGAGATTTTTAAATTTTAATAAAAGAGTAAAAGATATTGAGAATAGATAAAGTAAAATGTAATTTGGTAATTATTTCATATACTATTGGGCATAATTTTCTTCTTGTTAGAAGCAAATTGTAAAGGCCCATTGGGCTTAAGAAAATGGGCTTGGAGTGTTTGATAGCCAGCTAGCCAGCCCATCAGTATGAGGATTTTTACTTATTAGGAATTATTATTAAACTACACAATTTTACTTTATCTAATTCCGATATTTTTCTATTATTTTTATTAAAATTCAAAAATTTCTTTTTTACACTTAATGATTTTTAACATATTTTTTACGTTGGAAATTAAAACTTGAACTTTCTCATCTCCAAAAAATTTACTCTGTAACTAATAACAACAAATAAAAAATTAAAGTATTCGTCTGCTTTAATTTAAGTATTGTTCTATAATATTATGCATCCAAAATACTATAAAAAGAAAATTTTTGATAAATACTGAAAGAATAGGAATACAAAGTAATTAATTATGAGATTTTAAATTTAATTCTATACGTAATTTTAAAAAACAAAAATTTATATAAATATAAATATTGAATCAAAATTATTAAATTTGACTGATAGTAAAACTGACCTTTTTAGCTCCACCCCTATTAGGAGAAAAAAAATAGAAAACATTAACAAGATTTTTTAATAGGAAATTACAGAATAATTAAATAAAAAGTGGCTGCTAATTATTGGTCAAAGTTTATTAAATTAATCAACCGACTCTTTTGGGAAGAAGACGTGCACAAAACCCTAAATATTATGCTTGATCCCATTAATCATATTTAATTGACTAATTAACCAAATTATGAAGTGAAAACTTTATCTTTTTGAGATAGTAACCTTTATGTTATTTTAGTTATCGATAAATTTTAATTTTAATTAATTAAAATAAGTGTGTTTGCTCTTGATAATTGAGAAATATATTACTCGTTTTAACTACTTTAAAAGTATATTATCTTAAAAAAATATAGCAATACAAGTTTAATATAACCCCCACATAATTGAATAGCCAAAGAGTTTATAAATAGGAAAAAGCGTATAAAATTGTAAACTATTAATTTAAATTAAATTTTATAGTCATAATTTATTTTAATTGTAATTTGCAATTAACATTCTTTTTTTGTCATCTAATTCGATATAAAATTAGTCATTTTATACATTTCAGTATAAAATGTACAATATTTGTTTGTGTTTTCATAAAGCGTGAGAAAAGTATATACACAAATAAAATTATATATATTTTCGTCCAATACACTTATAATTATATAAATACAGATCTTATTATATAAACTACAATGTGCATATGAATTTATACAAAACTGAAGAATTTTGTATAAAATTAAATATCTCTAACGAATTATACAAATCAAAAAATAATTATGTAAACTATAGCTATAACTTATAAATCGCTCGATAAAATAAGATAAATGAGTGAAATTTACAAGTGAATGAAGCAAAGTAATTGAGGTGTTAAGAAAATGAAGAAAAAAAAAGTTGAAAGAATTGAGATATTTATAGATTAAGGTGGGTCGAGTCATCAATGAGATATCACCCTAAAAAGGTTACACTTTAACCTTGTATCAAGACCTAGTTTTAACTTTCAAGGTAGACATTTTTACGGAGTATAAACTTTTCAAAAGATAATAAAAGCATGTAAAAAGTTAGCCAAATATCGATTTAATTTTATAGTGAAATTTATAAGTTAAAAGACAATCTCATATAGATAATTTACATCATGACAATGTAACGTTCGAAGGAAAAAGAGAAAAACTTATAAACAAATCCTAACTATTAATCAGAAATAAAAGTCGACCTTAATGATCCAACGATACAGAGTTAAAGGGCTCGGATTCAAAATTGATGTTAAACTTTTTAATTTTTTAAACACAAGTTGACTTAAACAAAGTTTCATTATCAGTATCTTTTTATGTAAGTGACGTGGCAACATCTTATTGGTTGAGATATTCAACTCTCAGATTATATTAATATTAATTAAAACCCACTAGAAAATAATAAGATATTCCAGTATGTACTATATTCTTGAGGGGCAAAATTGTCCTTTCACGTTAATATCCATATATCCGGAAGACGAACCACGTGGAGCACCGAACAATTACACGTGCTGACGATGAAGAAAGGGTATGATTCAGTACGAGCAAGTCCATGGTAACAAACTGGAATTTCCAGTGAAACACTGACACGTGTCAATCGTTTAAATAATATATGTCTTTCTTCTTAATATTATAGTTATACTGACTAGGTAGTTTGCCCTAAATAATAATAAAATTTAATTTGTAAATAATTTTTTACTAATAGTTATATATTAAAAATAATAAAAAATTAGTACTTAGCTATATTTCAACATGAATTTGACGATTTGTCATTATCACATAACTGAAGAATCTCTAATGAATGAATTATTGAGGAAATAAATCTTTGGTTCTTTAAACAATATTAAAAGGAAAATAAGAATATATATATAGAGACATTTCGTTAAAAAAAATATTTAAATTGCAGTAGATTATACAATTTGGACATATATGTTACATAGATTATACAATTGTAATATATGTCACAGGTTCTTAACAAATTCAAAAAGAAATTACTCTTGATTCATGAACATGAAAACAATTGTAACTTTTGAATATACATAATAGATATCTTCAATTGATAAGTGAGAAACTTCATATATATATATATATATATATATATTAAAATAGATAATATGTAAGCTTATACATAGATTATAATACTTTTAAGTTACAAAATTTTATATGAAATATCAGAATATAAAATTTTGAAATTGAGTACAATAATTATTTTCTACACAATAAATATCTCTACTTTATGTTTATATGTTAAATATAACTAAAGATAATAACTTTGTAGAAATATAAACAACAGAGTTTAAAACATATACTCAAAATTAACATTGAACACCATAAGCGTAATTTAATGAGAGTAAAAAAAATATCAGGA